AGACAAGCCTCGCGGTAAAACCTTCGATGTCGCCGCCATTGGCGAGTTGGTACTGAGGAACCATATAAAGAGCGCTAAACATGCCGACATCGTGCAGATAGAAGCGATATTTCGAGATACTTAATTTTTTGTTGTTGCTTAGTACAATAAAAATGATACCTGCTCTATTTTCTTACAATAATGTTTTATTTTAAAAAAATGTTAACGGAGCATTGAGCTATATAGGTCCTCGAATATACTCCCAGCAGGGCCATCATATACCTCGAATATCTTCGAATTTCATTCTGGTGTTCGTTCGTTTTGGGGGTTTGTTATCGTCAACTAAATCAATCACGCGCAAAAAGAGAAAAAGCGCAGGACGTAGCAGGACTGCGGCACATTTAGTGCGCGTGATTGATTCAGCCGATGAGAACAAACCCCCAAAACGAGCAAGCACCGTGACGACGCACTTTCGGCGCTGCTTGAGTAACACCATCGGATCGCATCGCCTGCCATCCGACTTCAAGGGAAACGGAGTACGGTCTCTTTAAGTTCCCTTTTTATTGCGTTGTACGCGATATAATCGGCACGACGTTGGAAAGCTGCTCCAACTAAAGAAAAAGAAGAGATCAATAATCCGAGGTGCCGATACGTGGCCGGCAGAAAATTTTTCAACAACGCGGAGAAGGAGGAAGAGTGGGAGAGAGAGTTTTCAATCCGTATTCGAAACCGGGGTTAAAATGGCAAATCGAAGCAAAAAAAAAAAAAAGGGAAAAAAAGATGGGCGACGGAAGTGAGAAGAGGAAGCGAAGTACGTTGAAAATAGAGCTTCCGGGTCGCCAGTTGCCCGAGGTCGATTCCCAGGAGATATTGACATAGCTTGGTGAAGCTTTCAAATCCTTCGCGTGGAGTTGATCCCTTATCGCAACTGCAGCCGGACGTCTATCCCCGTTGTCGTCGCCACCAAAAAAAAGCAAGTAAAAGCAACAGGAATCAAATTGGCAAGCGAGGGCTAGTCGCGCGCTAAACAAAATCTGTCAAGACAGAAAAGAAAGTTTATTCTAGAGTAAGCTCCGGTCTTATAAATTTACGCTTTATTTAAGGAAACTCAAGATGACAAGCTAAAGCAAATGAAAAAGAACGACCCCAAAACCTCACTCAACTTTTTTTTTATGTTTAAGAAAGTTTTGGGAAAGAGGCAATCTTCTTATGACGGGAAACGAACGGAAAGAAGTACAGTCCAGAAGTTCTAAGTATGTCCTCTCGCGTTTTACGAGGCGGCTTCTTCTCTTTCTCTATCTCCCACCCTCTCTTTCTTGGCCGACTAGGATGATTCATAGCGACAGCGGCGCTCAGTGTGCGGCTGGATGAATAACAAGGACCGTCATTAGGAAGCGCCGGGACACGAACAAGTGCGTATCCAGAATGCCTCGCCGTATTTCTAGGAAACTTTCCGCCGCTGGAGATTCGCCGCTGAAATAAAAACCAGCACCACTGTTGATGCCGTCTCTTCAACGCTCTATTCCTTCTCGCCAAGCGCCTGTAATGCGCCCCGAAGGCCGCGGCGATAAAACAGGCGAATAATTCGACTCCCGCGGGTCTATTTTCTAAAGTAGGGTGGTCATAATGCCGGGATTTTCTTTCTAGTTTTTTTCCCCCTTTTTTGCCCGGACGAGTGGTTATTTTTGAAAACCCGTTATGCGTTTTCGAAGGCCCCTCGAGCGCTCGATCGACATGCCCGAGCAAGAAGTTGCCAGGCGAAGAAGAAAGGCTCGCGGGAACATCCCGAAAAGGAGCGGCGAGCACGGGATCGGCCTCGGCGATATATGGGTACGGACCATAATATGGACCTGGGGGCGGTCTCATCTGCCGAGGAATTCAATCTCTATAAAATAGAATTGCCGCCCGTCTCTTTCACGGTGCCATGCACCGATCTCACAGTTCCAACCCGACGAATCGGCAGATAAAGTTCCGAACAACTATGCGGATCCAGCTTCTCGGCTGTTTGTTTCCGCGCTTTTCTCCTTTTTTTCCTTCCTGGTTTGCTGGTTGTATGTTGCTGTCTCGCTTTGCGCTTTCGCGACGTGCTACTCTCCGACGCCGGTTGCAGGCACTTTCTGCGAGACTCGAGCCACCCCCGGAGTCCCGCTGACTCGACTGCTTGTTCTTCTCCTGGTGCTTCTTTTGTCGCATTCCTCTGCCATGATGGCGGCCTTCTCGCTTTCTATTTCCGCGTTTCCGGAGTTAGCGGTGCGCTCAATTTCACGGTCACTGGAGGGACTGATTCGAGGAGTAAAGACTCTAAACTTGACACAGCCTCCCCCCCCCCCCCCCCCCTTTCTTTTCTCTTTTTTTCTTCTTCTTCTCTGTTTCTTTTGTTTTCTTCTGGACGAGCCCGTCTCCGTCGTTTGTTTCCCCTGATGGCTGTGGTTTCGTAATTGAGTTTGCTCCTACTCGGGGGCTTCTGGGTTTATTGCCCGCTGCTCCAGCCCCGGCATTGTTGTTGTTTTTTGCCGCCCGCGAACCGGCGTGTTTATCGTCGGCGTCAGCTGTCGGAAAAAGGCACCAACCGACGCGAGACGGCGGGGGAGCTTTCGCAATCAAATAACCCCCTGTAAGACATACCTACCAAAAGGCAACGATAATAAGCGAAGCTCTCTAGAATTATGCATCTTTTTTTCTCTTTTATTATTGGATTTTATGTTAATTTAGGAGAGTTCGTACATACCACATTATGCATACGCATCTAGACGATCCAAAGAGGCCGGCTCACACGGGAGTGAACACCTTACAGACCAAGGCGTTGAATACCTCCCCTGGACCTGCACGGCTTTTGCGCAGCAGAGGTCTCAAGCTCTGTTTGAACCTCAGCCCAACTCCGACGAGGCCGCGGCAATGGACACACCCCGCGGGCTCGGCGGAGGTCTGAAGGTTTTCGCCATGGTAACGCAGCTTGGGTTCATTCGAGCGGGGGGGAAAAGGCGGGAAGGGGGGGGGGGGGGGGTGATGTTTTAGACTTTTTGTCCGATCCTCCACAGCCCATCCTTGTGATATCCCACACCGCCTGGCGATAGTTATGAAATTCCAAAAGGGTAAGCAAATTGGCAGAGGAAAGCAATTCTACTTTTGGTTCTTAACATCTGGGCTAGGTGGCGCAAGCTACCGCCCGTTATAAAGGGCACAGCCGTTAGCATCCATCTATCCATCCAGCGGCAAGGCTATGAGTCCTGCTTCTAGTAACACTTGCGGCTTTCCCGCGACATAGATCAAACCAGGCAGAGAAAAAATGCAAATGAAGGTTTAATTCGTTCATTGATGTGTACGCTACTGTCGGGGCGTAGATTGGTGTCTTCCCACTTGTGGCTTCGTGATTGATTCTTCGGTGTCCTTATCGGAAAATAGCGCAATCTGATTGTTTGAGAAGCGATAATCAGGTGCTCGGGAAACCCCCCCCCCCCCCCCGTTTTTGAAGTCGTCCGCGACTGTAGCCGAACAACAAGTGGCTGGGACGCCGTGCCCCCTGCATACCTCGGCAAATTCATTCATGAACTCGCTCATTCACCTTCATTCACATTCACGGCGTGAATCTGAATGGCTCGGAATTAATTCTTAAAATTGAAAAAAATTATGATGTGATGGTGAATGACTTTGTGAATTTGAATGAATTCGTGATGTGATGGTGAATGAGTTCGTGAATTTGAATTACTTCGTGATGTGACAGTGAATGAAGTCGTGAAGTCGTGATGTGATGGTGAATGACTTTGTGATGGTGAATGAAGTCGTGATGTGATGGTGAATGACTTCGTGAATTTGAATGAACTCATGATGTGTTGTGATTGCGAATGACTTCGTGAAGTGAAGAATTCATTGTGATGTGAATGACTCAATGAATTCGTGACGTGATGGTGAATTGCTCGTGAACACGATGAATTTGTGGTGTAAGTGGCTCGTGAACTTAATAAGTTCGTGATGGGGAGTAATACCGTAAACTTCATTCTCGACGTGATAGGGAGTACGGTTATGAATTCAGAATAGGTGGAAAACATGTTACGCGGGTGCTTGCTTGCTTGCTGGTTGTTTTCTTCCTTTACCGGAAACGACAGGGACCTATTCGACTTCAGCGGTTTAGGCATCAGCCTCGCTGCGTAGCCGTGCGCGCCTCAGCGTGGTGGCCGAGTCAGGTCCTGGTTTCAAGTGGCGGACACAGAAAGGCGCCACAGTCCTATTCCGCAAGAACTGCGAACTCGTGAAGGGCTACCAGCCGTGAAGTCGAATTTATTCAGCATGAACCTGAATGGCTTCGTGAATTATCCGGATTTCATAATGTGAGGGTGAATTCCGGTGAATTCGTGTTGACCGTGACGGTGAATAACTTCGGGAAGTGATGGTGAATTCAGATGAATTCGTGAAGTGATGGTGAATTCGGATGAATTCATGATGTGATGGTGAATTCCGATTAATTCACGATAGTGAATTCCAATGAATTCGGGGTGATGGTGAATGACTCCGTGAACTTTGAGGCGCCGGTGAAGTGATGGGGATGAATTCTCGGCGCGGTTGAACAACGTGATGTAAAGGGGATGAATTCTCAGCGGAGTTTGAAAACCGTGATGTGAAGGGGATGTAGTTTTGGCGCGGTTGAACGCCGGGATGTGAAGGGCCGCGACTTTGGGAGGTCGGAGTACCTTGTGACGTGAATGCGAATGAATTTGAAGACGTCATTTTGTTCGTGATGTGATGGTGAATGAAGGGGCTCTAAAATGCCGACCTATGGCCCCATGTAACATTTCAGTTCCAGGAGGGCTGAAATGTTTGTAGTAAAAAACAACAACAGATGAATGAATTTTAAGTGATGCACGAGGAAACGTATGTCGTACGCACGTGGTGCGGGTAGCTAAACCTGTTTGCGCAAAGGATTTTTTCTTCTTTTTTTGTGGTGTGTGTGTGTGTGTGTGTGTGTTTTACTTGGGGTTATCGTGCTGTAAATGCGTAAAAAGAATATTTGCAAATAAATAAAGGACATGCTCGTACTGTACTCGACGTTGCATCAGTGGCTATACTGGAGCTTGCATTTGAATCCGGGTAAATTCAAAGCGACGGCGTATATAGAGGCAGGGTCGAGCTCGGCGGTCTGAATTATTTAATAACCGTTTTGCGCAATAAAGTAATGGATCTATACATCTTCTGTTTTTTAATTGGGCACGGTGAAACGTTACTTGTACCGCATTTGGGCAGTGGAGCGCTAACTGGAGTTTCCGGGCGATACGATTAAGAGAAGGAATAATTGGGGAACGCCCAACACTTAGCCATTACGTGCTGAAAAAAAGAAAGACAGATTTTAGGATTTTGTTGTTTATGATACTTTTTTTTAAATTCATTTGAGAATGAGACAAAAACGTACAAACATTCAAGCGTTGAGAAAACTTAAATTCATGCGGTGGATAGTAAAAAATGTATATTATATTCACAGTGTGGCAATGACTTACTTCAAGGTTAATCCTTACTGGATAAAATAGCGCAAGTCAATATCATTTGTTCTCCTTAAATTATATTCACGGTGCACATTAAATATTTGTATCAGTGTTGTGTTTCTTGCTTTTATTAATTTAGAAACAAAGCGATATAGAAGCTCTCAGGCAACTGAGCATGGGCGCCACCATAACCGACCTTCAGTTTTTGTTCCCTCTTATTCCGTTCGCCCCACTTCATCGTTCCCACAGCAGGACAGGTTATTGACACTTAAGGTACTGCTGTGTCCTTCTCCCCAGCATAGGCCCTTGTGCAGGCTCATCAACGCCTGATTTGGTGGCTCGGTTTTTCGGTAAGACAAGTGAAGTTCGGCAATGGCGGCTCAGTCTGGCTCGTGTTTAAAGCCGTCTAGATGTTACATTAGTTTCTACTTCAGTAAATTGTCGTTCCTTACATTTTTTTTTATTTCTTACTTTCTATTGGTTTTGAGATTCAGATTCAAATTTGGGGAAGCGTGCTTTCGTTTATTCATGGTTCTTTATGAAGGCGCGTGGTGATTCCGTCTGTCTACCATGCGAATGGAGACTAAGCATCCACACCGGAGCCGTGTATGGAGAGAGCTTGGTCAATGGGAGGTGCGGGCAGAGCCAGGGCGCACAGCAGACGCAGAAAGTGGGCTTCCATGCTCTTTTGGCCAACCAGAAGCCTAAAAGAATCATCTAGCGGTTGTAGCGAGAAACTGTTTTAATCATAGGTATATGTTGGTATGTGGTTTTAATAAGCGCGTTAGACTGAAGCGTAGTAACCCTTCATGGTTAAAAATAGGATGCACGTGATGTTTTGATCATATCATGCAGAAAGATGTAAGGAAAGAATATGCCGCTCAACTCTGTTTTGCTCGGACAGAGTGATTGCTCGGATGGCAGATTCTCGGCCCTCAGCGCCTGGCGTACGGATTATGTCGATCGTTCCGCTGGTCGCACTCTTCCACTATGATTTTGGATGACCGTGAATGAAACATCACGTGCACCGTATTTTCAATCACCGAGAGTTACTCCTATGCACTTATTAAGTTTGTTTCTCGCGACCACCGCCAGTGTGATATTTCCGGCTTCTGGTTGGCCATATTCGAATTTGTGAAGACGCCCAGGAACGCGCCCAGCCCGCTTTCGCCAATGGCGCCTCCACATTTGTCTCTTTTACTTCCCGATGAATGGCCATACTCTCTACATATACGCCTCTGATCCACACTAACGGCACAGAGCACGGGCAAAGGTACAGAGCACGAGCTCTTAGCAGTTGATTCCAGTGAGCGAGCGCTGCATCGGCGCCTCCCATCCCATGACTTCGGCCTCGCGTGTGTAGCGTTCTTCTTGTTCCAAATATGTGCAAAGCCAAGCGTAATTCTGCTTTTCACCGCATGAGCTGTGCCGATCGAAGCTCGAAGCGAACAGCCATCGTGCACAAAACAGCGCGCGAAGTCTTTCCGATTCCTTCTCTACCCGTTGCCCGTTCGGGTAGGACCCCGTGGATCGTATGGAGAGAATGCTTCGCCGTCGAAAGCTGTAAGGTTTTTCTCTCGCTGGCTTTTGTACACGAAACGACGGCAGTACTTCCCGAAGTTCGTTAGCGGGAGTGCCTCCTCCAGTGAACCTTTTCAGGTGGGCGGACCCCCCATAAAAACGCGACGAAGCGTACGCTTGAAACAACCAACTTACGCCGAGCTTCATGGGGTGCCAGGGGAATGCTTCGTTCCCTGATTGGCGTGAAACATCGAGCCTCCTGCTTAGTTGACTAGTCTAAACAGCCCCCCCTCCCCCCACACACACACACAGACTTTTCCGTGTAGATTGGGAATTATGTTCCCAGGCGGGGATAGTTTCCGATCGTCACTACATTTCCGAAGCTACTAAACACAACACTTAGGACGACGAAAAGAATCCCTGGAAAATCATTCCTGATGCCTAGCTCTACCAACTGAGCTAACCCCTGGTTAGCTCAGTTGGTAGAGCGCTCCACTGGAAATGAAGGTGTCTCAGGTTCGATACCCGGACCAGGCGGATTTTTTCGGTCGCGCGCCAGTCACCTAGCTGTGTTTGGAGATTTGTGTTTGTCCGTTGTTCCTCTTGTTCCCCTTGTCCAAGGATTATTTTCGTCATTCTTGTCCAGCTCGCTTGCACCTTTGCATTCTTGTGGAGCTCGCTTGCATTTAAACAATACTAAGGGATGTTTTTTTAAATGATGGAGTCATCGGAGCGCTTATTAATTTTCTCTGACATAGTGTTTGTCTTCGTTCGCATACGTTGAAAAAAAAAACAAAAAAAAACTTTAGTTTTGAGATAGCCAATGTGCACAGCGTTTTGTAGATATTAAACCGAAGTACGAGGGTCACGTGATATCGCTATATGCGTTCGCATTTTTGGTTGAATACCGGTAACAAAACTTCGAGCAACACTCGTCGGTAAACTTATTTAGCTTCAAAGAAACTCATTTCCGAACGTAGTCATTGCAAAATGGTCACCTTGTTTTGTTTTTTTTTCTTTCACTATTAAAAGTTTTGGTCAATTGTTCGGCCTCGTTTCTTCTACTCCTTAAGAATGATTAACAAGGTGTAATTGCATCATAACTATCATAATCATCATTATAATAAAGCTATTTTCGTCATCGCTACCTACTTCATCGTCGTTATCATAACTCTCTTTTGCTAACGCCAGGGATGATGATGTCCCTGGGGTGTCCCAAAGGGCTTTAGGCGTTGTTGCGGAACAACGTTTCTCGACAGTGATCCGGGACACAAGAGAAAGTTAAAAACCTGTCTTGGTGGTCAGCCGTCACCTTATTATAGGAGAAGCTTTTCTTATCATACCATGCTCTGTTCGTTGTTCTTAGGACAAGATCGCAATGTTTGCAAGAAGCAAAGTTTAACCTCCTTTGAGTTGTTTTGTTCTGGGAGAAAATGGAGGGTGGGGGAGGGGGGGGGGGGGGGGGGTTGCAGTTGAAATGTCACGTATTAGTGAAGGGTCGTTGAAAACCTTTTAAAATTAACATGGTCCATATCTACATCAGTGATCATGCGACAATGTTTGCGTCGCTTGTAAGGATTGCTGCCTGTATGACAATCACCGAAGCAGATGTTCGAAACTAATACTCGTACATATTTACAATTTCCAGTCAACGCTAGCTAAAAAAATAAAAAAAATAAAGAGAATTGAATATTTGTACCGTTAGATATTGACTCCTAATAACGGCCCTCTGAATTTGCACGTAGAATAATCTCCGAAAAGCTCTCAGTTCCACTTACAATGGCCTCGATGATCAGCGTATTACGATGGAGTGCTACTAGATATATTTAGTTCGCCTTGTTCGTAGAACCCCGTACTCGTAGGTGCTGCAATAAAAACTTAATTTTGGAGCGACTTTTTTTTTTTTCCTTTTTTAATGGCGGAACAAGACAATTATTAGTTCGTTACCAGAATTTAGCTATTTAAAAGTTAGCACACTCTTTTTCTTTCTTTAATTGGGCTAAGTGCGAGGCACTCTCTTTTTCCTTTTTAATGAAAGCCGCGTGCCGCTTTTAGAACGCTGCAAGCGTTTTCCTGTGTTTGTATTTGCTTAATCTTTAAGACCCGAGTTATCCCGCGTTCCGCCTTTAATAAAGACAAATTGGCCGCCAAGTCAGGCGCCGCATAATTCGCGCGTTTAAAATAATAACAACGATAACTTCCAAAGCTTAGCTCGGGCTACGGGATGCGCCTAATGGATACAAATGGGCCGGCTTCATTACTGACAAAAGCCAGAGACGCGGCTCGCGCTCGCCCTCCGTCTCCCTTTAATGGGAGCATTTTGTTTTAAATATCTTTCTCTCTTCCCTCGCATACCTTGTCTGCGCAACTACAAAAGTGTGCGCGCTTTTACAGTTCTATAGTACGCAAGCTTTTATGCAGTTCGGAAGCAATCTAAAACGTTTGGAAGTTTAGTTTGTTAATCTTTGAAACGGAAATGGATATTGATCTTTCATTCTTTATATAATCATAGCTCTATGCGGAGCGGAAGTTCGTCTGCTTCTTGCACAGGTGTTGCGATGATGTCAGAACGCTGAGCTCTTATTCACTGACTGAAAAAAAAAATAGTGGATAGACACCTGAAAGCATCTAGTTTTGAGGTCTACCCACTATCCTTTCAATCAAAGCCAATCAGAGCTCGGTGTTGTTCTGACGTCACCGTGACTCCTACAAAAAAAAAAAAATCAGTGGAAGTTGCGCTTTGTATAACGGGTATGCCGCAACGTAAGCGCGTTCTAAAGTTACGCAATCAAGCCCGCGTGCCTCCTCGTAAGACGACGCCGCAAACATCCGATGTGGAGTTGAGTTTCTCGGCTGGACAGGGAAAGTTTAGCAGGCGCAGTACGCTATACGCCCCGGGTTTTTTTGTGTCGCATCGGGTGGTTTTACGATCAAGCAGATGTTGGACTCTTAGAAGCGCAGGGCGTAAAGACTACCGAGCATCTTCTTATTGCCCCACAGCTCCATGAGATTGCGCCGCTATATAAGAACCCCTTGATCGAATCACGAAGCGAGAACACAATAATAAACCACACACTGTACATTTGTTTT